TTTCTTTTTTATAAAGACGGGGTTTCACCATGTTGGTCAGGCTGGTCTTGAATTGCCGACTTCAGGTGATCCGCCCGCCTTGGCCTCCAAAGTGCTTGGATTACAGGCAAGAGCCACTGTGCCCGGCCGATCTTTGTAGTTTCTTAGGCAAAATATACATGTTTGTTTTAACTTTCACTTACCTGATTTTGGAGGCATCATATGTCTACAGTCATGAGCCACCCCACTGGGCCTTTTTTTTTTTTCTTTTTTTTAGTAAAGAAAGATAAAAATAATGTACATTCTTTGTAAGATACTGGAAAATAACTTGGTTTCCAAAGAGTTTCCATCCAGTGCCAAATCCAGAGAAATGAGCCTGCACACTCCAGTGCACTGTCAAATCCAGACAAACAAGAGGCAAATGTTATTTACATTAGTAAATGTATAGTCTTTTTTATTTTATTTTATTTTATTTTATTTTATTTTTTGAGACGGAGTTTCACTCATGTTACCCAGGCTGGAGTGCAATGGCACGATCTCGGCTCACTGCAACCTCCGCCTCCTGGGTTCAGGCAATTCTCCTGCCTCAGCCTCCTTAGTAGCTGGGATTACAGGCACGCACCACCATGCCCAGCTAATTTTTTGTATTTTTAGTAGAGACGGGGTTTCACCATGTTGACCAGGATGGTCTCGATCTCTTGACCTCGTGATCCACCCGCCTCGGCCTCCCAAAGTGCTAGGATTACAGGCTTGAGCCACCGCGCCTGGCTATAGTCTTCTTTAAAAGCAAGAATGGTAATACCTTGGACCAGAAATGCAAAGAATTCCTGGAAGTGGACTCTGGGTTTCTGGATAATGAATCTTGAGAGGAAGCAGCGGCCCCAGATAGCAAGTGCTTATTGGGGGAACTCTACTGGTAACCCCAGAAAGTTGGCTTCAACATTTCCTTCATGAAGTAGCAGGAATAGGTCTTTCCAGGCTTGAATAATGAGTGGAGGCTTGTGTTGTAGCGAGGGGGCAGTGCTTGATTGGCTATATGTACACACAGAGAAGAGAGGTTTTCCCAATGGAGAACCTCATTACCCAGGCATTACTCATCTCTGCTGAGTAGCCTGTCATGCAGACATGCCTCTCCCTGCAAACAGTGTACAGCATGTTACTAGTTCTTTTCAACTCTCCACATAAACTGCTGCCTAAGATGAAAGATACTTCATTAGGGAATCTTGATTTACACAATCTTAAACCATACTGTTATTTTAGAATCAAAATTCTACTGGTCTCTAGTACTGTGAAAGGCTCTTTAAAGAATCACATTTTGCTCTTACACATTATTTATATTCTATTAAATCCCAGAAGAAGTAGAACTCATGAGCTTGGTTGATAGAGGGATCAGATAATCTGACAGAAAAAGAAATAACACACTTTTTAGCAGTCACTTGGCTTTTCCTTATGAATCTTTTGGGTACACCTCTGGCCAATTTCATAATTTATTGGGTTAATATCATCAGCTATTTGAGCAGTCTTAGTGTCAGTCATTAAACCATTCAGTCAAAACTAAATCAAAACATCCATCTCTTTCACCTATATTATCTATCATGTCTGACTGGAAGCCAGCAAGACCTCCTGGACAAAGCACTCTGAGATTGTCCAGTCCAGATATCTCCCACTTGGGCCACACAGAAAGCTACCATTTGCCTCCCATCTATCCATGATTATATTAAACTTGCTCTAGACACAGAGCCTTTGCACCTGATATACTCTGTGGATGAGAACTTCATTCTTTGATTTTGAATGGCTTCCTCCATTGCATTATTCAGATCTTAGTTGGAAGGACACCCCCACATCTCTGATAATTCTGTTCTGACTACCCAAGATAAAAGTAGCTCCCTTCCAGTTGCATTCTTTCCAATTAACTTGCATAACTTTCTTGACAATACTTCTCATCTAAAAATACTCCTATTTATCTATTTGCTCACATATTTTCTGTCTGCTTCCTGCCAGAAAGGTGTCAGGCTCTTTATAGTAGATGGGGTATCTTCCTTTTGATTGATTTGTCTCCAGGATCTTGATCACCATACAGCACAATGTAGGCATTTAGTAAGTATATGTGAGTGGAGAAGGAATGAATGCATGTAAAATTCTCCAGCCACCAGCTGAACAGAAAAAGTCAGGTGTCATTTAAAAATAAAAAAGTACCTTTCTTGGAAGTTTTTGTTTGATTGTTGTCTTCTTTTTGCTTCTGAGAAAATGCAAGTAAACTTGCCACAACGGCCTAAGGCTAGGATGACCCAATGAATCAGACCTGTTCAAAACGTCAGTCAACTCTATTTTGTGTATTGTCACTCAAGAACAGTATATTTATGTGCCTCTTCTCTCTAAGCTAGGAGTTCTGAAGCAATTTGCACCAAAGGTTAACAACAAATTCCAGTGTTTGATATGTTGATTCCTGATAACGGAGGGGTGGCGTCCTTCTTCTCCACTCTCTTGACACACACATACTCTTTCACCATTAATGAGCATGAAGGTTTGAAGTGAAATCTTTACTGCTGCAATTATTTGTTTGAATGCATGGAAGAGGTGGAAGCCCTGGTAATCCACTGCCCTGCATACAGCAGAAGCCTGGGTCTAAGAAAAAGTCTGTTGAACTGAGGCTCAGACTGATGCCTGAATTCTTATTTATTTATTTAGAGACATGGTCTCACCCTGTCACCCAGGCCAGAGTGCAGTGACATGATTACAACACTCCATCTCAAAAAATAAAATAAAATAATATATACTAGTATGCTAGCCAGAAGTGCTTTTTTTTTTTTTTTTTTTTTTTTTTTTTTTGGTGTTTTTTTTTTTTTTTTTTTTTTTTTTTTTTTGAAATGGAGTTTTGCTCTTTGCCCAGGCTGGAGTGTAATGGCACCATCTGGCTAACTGCAACCTCTGCCTCCCGAGTTCAAGTGATTCTCCTGCCTCAGCCTCCCAAGAAGCTGGGATTACAGGCATGTGCCACCATGCCCAGTTAATTTTGTATTTTTAGTAGAGATGGGGTTTCTCCATGTTGGTAGGGCTGGTCTTAAACTCCAGACCTCTGGTGATCTGCCCACCTTGGCCTCCCTAAGTGTTGGGATTATAGGCGCGAGCCACCGTGCCTGGACAAATTTTTTGTTTTAATCTGCATTTCTTTGATTTTAGTGAGCCTAAGCTTATTTTTTCTATAGGTTTGAAGGCAACTTTTCTCTTTATAGAAATTAACCTTTTGTCAGCAAATTAAAATATTTTTCTCAATTTTTCTTTGGCTTTCAAATTTAATTATATGTGTTTTTTTTAAAAGGGAAAGTGAACAAAGAATAGCATTTGTATATTCAAATGTGTCAGTCCCTTTCGTTGAAAGTTCAGAGTCTACATTCTGTCTTTCCATTAGTTTTTTAATGTAATAAAATATAAATAAAAAATTTACGTTTTTAACCATTATTAAATGTATAGGTCAGTAGCATTAAGTATATTTGCAATGTTGTGCTGTTATACCTGAGCGAGTTAGAAGGAAAGCCCACACTCTGATTTCCAATTGAGAGTCCTTTATTGGCTCACCCCTATAATCCCAGCACTTTGGGAGGCCGAGGTGGATGGATTGCTTGAGGTCGGGAGTTCGAGACCAGCCTGGCCAACGTGGCAAAACCCCGTCTCTATTAAAAAAAAAAGAGAGAGAGAGAGAGAGTTCTTTATCGCCAGCGACCAAGAGTCAGCTCCGAGCTCAAAATCTCTCAGCCCTGAAGAGGGGGATGGGGGATGTGATTTCCTTTTATATCTAACCTAGAAGAGAGGAGAGGGGGAGTCTAGCTGAAGCAGAATTTTACAGAAGCAGTACAAGCAAGTTAGTAGGAGGAAGCTGGTAACCAGGAGGCAGGAGGTTCCCATAGTTGCTGGTTACTAGGAGTATTTCTATACAATTATCAAGGTGGGTAACAGGGGGTACTTTCCATACAATCAATCACCAAGGGGGGATTTTCACAATAGCAGGTAGACTTGCCAAGCAGGATGAGGTTACAACAGTTATAGGTACTGAGAACAACATGACCCAAACCTCAACGGTTCAAGGCTTTGAGTACAGCATGACCCAGTGATGCACCTGACGGGGCTGTGGCAAGGAGGGTGAAGCTAAGCTGGAGCTTGTTAGGCTTATTTCTAAGATGGAGTCAGGTTAGTTCATTTCAGTGCAACCAGCAAACTGAAACTCTATACCCATAAACAAAGACTCCCTATTACCCCCTACCTCCAGTTCTTGCAAGCCACCATTCTATTTTGTCTCTATAATATAATTTATCTACTCTAGGTACCTCACACAAGTGAATCATGCAGTGTTTGTCCTTTTTGACTGGCTTGCTTCACTTAACCTGTTACCCTCTGGGTAAATCCATGTTGTAGCCCGTGTCAGAATTTCCTTCCTTTTTGAGGCTGAATAATGTTCCACTGTATGGATACTGTGTACACATACATATATCCATACAATGGAACATTATTCATTCATCCATTGATGGACACTTGGGTTGTCTCCATTTTTTGGCTTTTGTGAATAGTGCTTTTATGAACACAGGTTTATAAATATCTATTGAAATGCCTGCTTTCAAATGTTTGTGTATATCCCCAGCAGGAGAATTGCTGGATCACATGCTAATTTTATTCTCAATTTTTGGAGGAACTGTTATGCTGTTTTCCATAGTGGCTGAATCATTTTATATTCCTACCAACAGTGCACAAAGTTTCCAAGTGCTCCACATACATACCAATACTTATCTTCTGTTTTAGCTTTTTGTTTGTTTTGATAATAGCCATCCCAGTGGGTGTGAGATGGTTACATTCAATTTTGCACTTGGAAAACTCAACAAAAGCTAAGGACATGGCAGAGTATAATAAAATGTGTAAAAAAATAAGAAAAATATTTATTTACTTTGAATTTAATGGTATTTGAACAAGGAGATGTGCCAAGTACTTCTGTAGCAGGAGCAGCACGGAAAATGGATCTCTCGAAGACCGAATGCAGGAGGAAGAGGGGTTTATTATGTCGGCCGGGAGCCTGGGCAATAATTTGTCCAAAACCCAGCTCAACTGAAAATGGGAGGTTCACCCTTTATACAGGCTTATACTTTAGATATTACAGGTGAAAGAATCTTAGGTTCACAGTTTTAGGAATCGCATGGGAAACGGTTTCTGTTTACAGTTTCAGGAGTCACATAGGAAAGGGCTCCGATATACAGTTTTAGGATTCACATGTGAAACGGTTTCTGTTTACCGTTTCAGGAGTCACATAGGAAAGGGCTCCAGTTTACAGTTTTAGGACTGACAAGTAAAACGGTTTCTGTTTACAGTTTCAGCAGTCACATAAAAAAGCTCCGGTTAACAGTTGTAGGACTCACATGTCAAACGGTTTCTCTTTACAATTTCAGCAGTCACATAGGAAAAGGCTCCGGTTTATACTTTTAGGACTAACATGTCAAACGGTTTCTGTTTACGCTTTCAGGAGTCACATAGGAAAGGGCTCCGGTTTACAGTTTTAGGACTGACAAGTAAAACGGTTTCTATTTACAGTTTCAGCAGTCACATAAAAAAGCTCCGGTTTACAGTTGTAGGAATCGCATGCCAAACAGTTTCGCTCTACAGTTTCAGCAGTCACATAGGAAAAGGCTCCGGTTTACAGTTTAAGGACTGACAAGTAAACGGTTTCTGTTTACAGTTTCAGCAGTCACATAGGAAAAGGCTCCGGTTTACA